TTGTTGCGTTGTCCATACCTTCTATCTGTTTAACTTGCAAATATCATGCCTCCCTTCCTGTTGTTATATCTACATCCATATCGTTTCTATTTTGTTGCACTTTAGTACAAGCATTCTACAATGTTAGTCATTCATGCCTCTACTTGTTAGCTTGTAAAGATCATGCTTTCCCTTCTTATTTGTTATATCTACATCTAGGCCTTCTACCATGCTAGTTAGGTGAAGTTTATGTTCCTCTTTCCTAATTATTGTCATTACTCATATGCCTTCAACTTAGTCTATTACCGTTACCCATATGTATTTCCTTGTTTATTGTTGCTATTTGTGTATTTCCTACTTTGTCATTACTGTTATCGGCATTTCTGCCACCTGGTTGGTACTGTTATACGCACATTTGGTGAGGATGAGATAAATGCACGAAGGGTATTGTCGTGCCATTGACTTGATATCTTGAGTACGTTTCTCACACTATGAAAGTTATGAAGTTACTATCGTGGTTTGTTGATTATCGCTCTAAGGAAAGGATTGGTCGAGATATTGGGAAATATTAAATTGTGATCTCTTCTAGTACTCATTTATTGCTTCGCATATTCGTTTCGTGTACTCTTCTCTGTTATATTGTAGTATTGTTCTATTGCTAGTTTACTATACAGGTTATATCAGTGAGTATCTTTAAACTAAAAAGCCTCGCCACTACTTCACCGAGCTTAGTCAAAATACTTACTGAGTACATGGGGTCGGGTTGTACTCATACTATTCTTCTGCACCTTGCGTGCAGATTTTGGAGCGGAGCATGCGGGTGATGACTGGGGCTGACTCTAAAGATGTTCGTACCTTCCGGATGTGACTACCACTTGTCCCTGGGTAGTTGTAGAATTGAATTCTGTTTAAGTACATTTGAAATAGAAGTTGTATTTAATTCATATTCGTTACCACTGCAACAATCTAGTCTTAATAGCTCATGTCTCGTACTACAGTCCTTGGGATTTTGTATGGAATCTAGTTATATCATTTGTTGATCATATTTATTTTATTAGAACTGTGTTAACTGTTAATTGGCTGACCTAACGGGTCGGATTAGGTGTCATCACCATGAGTGAATTTTGGATCGTCATAAGTTTGCTCCCCATTCTCTTTCCTTTCACTTTCCTAGAAGCCAAATGTGTCTCTAAATATATATACTCAATTATTTTGCGGTCATTATCAAGTAGAATTTTTATTAGGGTCCAATTGAAAATATCGAGACCTGAAGTAAAATAACCCCCACTTACTTGTATGCAGTTCCATCGAGAATTTTGAAATTTGCGAGTGTTTATTTATAAGTTTGAAATTTGCGAGTGTTTATTTATAAGTTAAGACGCAATCATTGTCCAGACCGTTTTGTGCGTTGTAATATACAATTCCGATCCATTGTAACGTCAATTCTGCTTAAAATAAATACTCTTAGTTTATTTTTATTTGTTCACTATTCTAAAAATATATTTTTATTTTTATTTGTCACATTTTGTATATCAATAGAAGACAATTTCTTTTTTCTTGTTATACTCACAGTATTAATTACTCATTTTAAATTATTTTCTCAAATTCATTAAAAATATGCATCAATTAATATGAGTATCATGGTAAATTATGCACTTCATTTATTATTTCTTAAGAGATATGTAAAGTCAACAGTGAACAAGTAAAAGTGAACGGATGAAATATATAGAGAGTGAGCGGGTCACTTTCTAACGATAAAATTAAAATCAACAAATAAAAGGGAGTTAGAAAGGGCCGCGTTTGTTTATTAGTACTAACTAATAAAGAAACTGGAGTTGCAATTGGTTTTTATGATTACAAATTCTTTACCCAAATAATTCATTATTATGCAATGTCTTCTAAAGGATGCTATTTTTTGATAATCTATATAACTGATTTTGAAATGATCGTAACTGGAATTATTAAACTTGTCATTTATAAGAGAAATGACTTATTAATAGTAGTTTTTAGTTTTTATTTCTTTCAAAAAGAAATTCTTTTTTGTTGTACTAACTTTCAAGGAAAAAAAGGAGACATTTACATCATATTAGTTCGCTCTTTAACGTAAAATTTATAAGATTTTATTCCGAGTCTTTTGGTTATTCTGTCCAGCTTGAATTCGGGATATTTTATTTGCAACTGAAAGTGCATAGTCCAGAAAAAGGTGTGAAGAAGTATTTAAAATTTAAGGGTATGTTGTCTTCAACACAAAATTGGAAGATACTCGGGTGAAATTTAGGCTCTGGTTTGCAATTTTTTAGAAAGTACTTACGGTGGGTTCGTTTCTGTATTTTTTTTTTAAATCTTTTGGAAATTGTATGAAATATCTTTTTCTCAATAGTATAAAATTTCTCAAAATGTAACAATCATATAAGCACGTTTAAATTAAAAAAAAATTAAAATAATTCAAAAAACTTTTCTAAATTAACTATTTGAGAGCCACATTACCCTTTTTTTATAGGCTATAAATGGAGATATTTTACGATGATAATGATGGGAAAGACTAGGCAGTAAATACTAGTACAATCATAATCTCACCTTGCGCTAAAGACAGTGATTGAGGTTTAACCTCTCTAATATATATTAAATCATTTTTCAGTGGCAAGAATTTCCACCTCTGCTAAGTTTAAACTACAAAACGGTCCCAATTCAACCACTTCTTTGATCTTAAACAGACGTTATAAATGAGGAAATTGTATGGACCAACTACCAATGTTTCGTTCATGCTCATATCATGTATTACCCCTTTAATTTACACGATTAATATAATAGCACATGAGTGGCATGAACCAATTAGTAATGCAAAGAGGCTAATACGTTTCATTAGTAACAGTTTAGCTTCAATTTCACTAGTTACGAAAGTGTTAAAATTCAGTTAATATGCCTTCTCTAACTTGAATTACAAGAGCCAAATCATTAGATGTATTTTTCTATATCGAGTTAATAATATGCCAAAATTAACTGTCATTAGCTAGATTATGTCGCACCACAAAATTATCTTGTTCATGGAGATTCCTTGGTGGAGTTTAGACGATATTCTTTTTTCAAAAAAGAAAAAAAAAACGTTTTTCTGAATTATTTTGCTTAACCTAATTTTCCATATTATTACCAGAGTATAAAATAGTGAAAATATGATAGTTCTCTTCATTTATACATAATTTCCTTAGACCATATTTAACAGGGGGAAAAAACATAAAATACTTACTTACTTCGGTTCATTTTAATTGATATTTTTGTCTTTTTTTGTGGTTCATAATATTTGATTTTTTCAGATATCACGAAGAAATTAATTTTTTTTTTCAAAGTTGCCCTTGAATTAAAGAGTATTAGAGTATTTGTTATATTTTCAATGAATAAATTAAAAAGATAGTAAGGTTAATATGATCAATTTTATTGTTAATTAATATTAAATAATAAATTTTTTAATATATATAAAAACAACTAAAAAAATTAATTAAAATAAACAGAAAGGAGTAAATCCTATGTGACAATGATTACGAATTGGGTTATGATGGCAATTAAAGTAGAGAGAGTATAAGAGAAGTGGTAAGTGGAACGAGACTCCGCAGCCACAGCCGCCATTTCATCTCTTTACGCATTTTCTTGTGATAATTACTCAAAATAAATACTGCAGGAAATTAATACAGCATTAATTCTTCCATTATCATTTCTACAGCATCATCACTCACCACTCCCAAAGTGAAAGTTGAAAAGTTGCAGAAGAGAATCCAGAGGGACTTGCCGAAATTTTATCAAAATTATACTCCTGTTAAGTTGGTGATGACAGTAGAAAAAAGAAGAGTAGCATATTTAAAATATATAAAATCATTAGTAAGAAACTACTCTTTTTTACCCGTATTTCAAAAGACGTTTTCGGGGCGAGCCCCGGAGCAAAACGCATAAAAAATATCCTGGCGATGGTGTGAAACGAAAGTCTCAAGAGGCGTATGCCCAACAATTCGGGACATACATCTGGGTGTTTGAGGCGCGTTTTTTGTAGTGAGACGTAAGCCCAAGAGACTTTTTCAGATTAAAATAAATTTTATTGAATAAGTTCTTCATATAGTACCCAAATTCTCAAAACTCAGCTTGTAATTACTCAAAAGTTATAAAAAGGAACTGAAATGTATTAAATTTAAAAGTCAAGATCTTTTTTATTGATTAAAGCCTAATTTATCATCTTTTCCGATTCTTTATCTAGTCCGCTAGTCTGCTACTATCTCTCAAAAGCAACGAATAGTAAATTTTTTTTTTACAAATATAAAGAGAACTTCATTCTCCTCCACAGCATCAAGTTCAAAATTTAAATTGCAGGTTAGTCATCTTTTTTACTCTTTCATGTAGAAAACTTTATTCTTTTCGACTCAAGTTACTTGTACTTGTAAGTAGCGTATAATGAATTGTTTTGACTAATTTTTTGGGGGGAGTTTTCACATATTTATAGTTTTCATTAATTTTTATGTAATTTTATCTATTTATAAATATTTACTATAATTATATTATTTTATAAAATATAAAAAATTAAATACTCATGGGGCTTACGTTGCCTCGTACCTCGGGCTTACGACTCGTTGAGACATATGTAAAATGTCTCGCCTTACGCCCACGTCTTTTAAAACATTGCTTTTAACAATAAGCTAGTTAGTGTTAAATATATCGATTGAATAATTAGGCGTCCTATACATCAAATTAATAAAAATCAATTATATAATTAGTAATCACCATGCACCAAGGACTGTGGTGGAATGGTTAGGATGTATCTGCTAAATAATTAGAGGTTAGTGTGTGAGCCATAGATACAGGAAAAAAAATTCCTATGGTGTGCTTCCTTTTCGTGACTCGAATCCGAATTAGTCGAGTCTAATGTATTAGTCGGGCCAACTACGTGGAAAATTATAAAAAGATTCTACAAGTAATCCTATACATTAGTCATCAATTTATGGTAACATTTCCTCTTATCTTTATGCCGAGTAGTATTTTTAGTTTGTGGGGACTGTGGAAAGAGAGAGAGAGACCAAAATCAGTATAAAAGGGAAGCGAAATGGGAGGAAGCACTATCCTTCTGAAAGTTCAAATTTTGCAAATCATAACCAACTGCTCCCTTCACTCATAGCGCGAGACACAGACCAAAAAAAGCTTTTTAACGGCCCCCTTTCTTTCTTTCAACCTTTTTTCTTTTACAACTACACCTTTTTTTTTTGTTTTTGGTTTTGCCTTTCTATCACGACGTTACATATAACATCTATCTTTTAAAAACTGTATCATTTTATACATAAGCAAACATTTGGTTTTTCCAATTAAACAGAAAGAGAAGATGATTGTGGCAGTTGGTGATAAAGTGAGGATAATAGTGAGGGAATTCGACGGCAAGAAAGATTGCAGGGAAGTAGAAGAGGTAGAGAGAAGTTGTGAAGTTGGGCCCACCGGCAAACTCTCTCTTTTCACTGACCTTTTAGGTGACCCTATTTGCAGAGTTCGCCATTCTCCTGCCTTTCTCATGCTGGTATTATATTTATCCATATAGAACATGCATGAATTTGATTAGGGTAACATTTACTATTTTTTTAGTATTGAACTTATTGTATCACATATTGCAGTAATTCATTGACCATTGATCAGTCTATTTGTAAGTGATAAAGTGTATGTTTTATATATGTCATAGTTTAATTCTTGATTATGTCATTTACATTGATGATCAGGTAGCAGAGACAGAGGGAAAAGAAGAGAAAAGGGGAATAGTGGGAATGATAAGGGGTTGTATCAAAACCGTTACATGTGGGAAGAGACTCTCCAGGAACAATCTCCCTGTTTTCACTAAAATTGCCTATATTTTAGGCCTTCGTGTCTCTCCTTTGCACCGGTAACTACTTATTTACATTTCTATCCATTCTCTTCTAATTAATACTACACGTATTTCTATTTGTTCTAAAAGACCAATTATTGTTTAGTATTTGCCGAAAACAGACACATTCTGATGACCTCATATTTTGTCCTGTTTTCTTTATATATATTAGTAGTTGACGAGAGTGGGTTGATCTAGTGGTAATTCACTTCAAATCAAGAGGTTGTGAGTTCGAGTCACCCCAAGAGCAAGGTGGGGAGTTCTTGGAGGGAGGGAGCCGAGGGTCTATCGGAAACAGTCTCTCTACCACAGGGTAGAGGTAAGGTCCGCGTACACACTACCCTCCCCATACTCCACTAGTGATATACTGGGTTGTTGTTGTTGTTTGTTGTATATTAGTAGTTGACTCTCTAACTATATACTAATATTATAAAGTTGTTTATAGTTTCATAAATTTTTATGAGGATTTAAGTAATACATTAGTATTACCTATGTAAAATTATTTTATACAATTAGTGTAGTTTAACATGTTGCCCAAGTATTTGGGCATAGCTGCATGGTGCACTTGTACATTAGTATATGTGATCTCGTAAAATTTTACTTGTAATTGTTTTTATAAATAATCTAATTATATATAAATGATTTTATCGTTAGTCTATAAAAATTATACTCAACCAACATTAATAAATATCATTTTTATTTTTAATCAGGAGAAAGGGAATTGGGTTGAAATTGGTGCGCAAGATGGAGGAATGGTTCAGGGAAAATGGTGCTGAATATTCATATATAGCTACTGAAAACGATAACCATGCTTCTGTAAAACTCTTCACACACAAATGTGGCTACACCAAGTTCCGTACTCCATCTATTCTAGTGCAGCCAGTTTTTGCACACAGAGTCAAAATATCAACAAGTGTCACTATAATCAAACTCAGCCCAATTGAAGCTGAAACTCTGTATCGCCATAAATTCTCCACCACAGAATTTTTCCCCACGGACATTGATTCAATTCTCACCAATAAACTCAATTTGGGTACTTTTCTAGCAGTTCCAAAGGGTAACTTTTCAGGTTGGAATGGTGTGAATGAGTTTTTAACGAGTCGGCCCGAGTCGTGGGCTGTACTCAGTGTGTGGAACTGTAAGGATGTGTTCAAATTAGAGGTTCGAGGCGCATCCAAAATTACAAGAGGTTTAGCTAAGACGAGTCGTTTAATGGACCGGGCTTTTCCATGGCTTAAGGTTCCGTCAGTGCCGGAAGTTTTCAGGCCATTTGGGCTTCATTTTTTGTATGGGCTTGGTGGTGAAGGCCCATTAGCGGTGAAGTTGGTGAAGGCCCTTTGTGATTTTGCTCATAACTTAGCTGGAGAATCGCGGTGTGGGGTGGTGGTGACAGAAATAGCAAGTTGCGAACCGCTTAAGTTAGGAATTCCTCACTGGAAAAAACTATCTTGCGCAGAGGACTTATGGTGCATAAAACGATTAGGGGAAGACTATAGTGATGGGTCTGTAGGTGACTGGACTAAATCAAAGCCTGGTCTTTCTATTTTTGTTGATCCAAGGGAATTTTAACTTTTTATTGACAATATCTTGTGTTTTAGAATAGGGAATCTAATTTAGATGTCAATTTTTCATTTTTGTAGGTTCTTTTTTTTTTTTTGGATTAACTTTATATAATTGCAAAATTAGAGGACCTTTCTTTAGATCCCCTCTGTCATATGGTGGATTTTTGTTATCTTTGGACTCTATCTCTTGAATTTGCATATCCTTATTTTTAAAAGGATAAGACCCGTAAAAGATTGAAAGATTAGGTAACAATTTGTCAATCAATTTCTCAGAATATAGTCCTAGAAATCAATTTATTTATTTTTACATTTAAAATTTATTTGAGTATGAAAAAATGAATAAGGAAAGAGCTTGAGTCCTGTATAGTAATAGCATAACAAATATCTTATATTCATGTCATTTAAAAGATAATTACAAATTCATATTCATGTCGTAGTTACAAATACATCATCAATTATAGTACAAATTACACTGGTCATGTTAAAGATTTAGGCTGCGTGTTTTTTATGATATTTTTCATAGTGGCAAACTAGGGGCGACATTTATCACTCCGCTAAGTGGGGCTTCTTTTAATTTAAAAAAAAAAAGATCTTAGAAAGAATTAGAGTATAAAACTGGAACTGAATGAGTTGGGATGTCTATGATGTCATTCAGATATGATATGCCGGTAGTACTTTTTGCTTTGGTTGTCTTATTTTAGTTCTTTTCTTATTCAAATTATGGTTTCTCTTAAAGCACAATAACTCTTTGTTGAGGATTGCTTTATTTCTTTATGTGATTTCTTGAAAACAAAAAGGGAGTGGGGCACTTGCTCTGCTACGTGCTATAGCAATTGAAAGATAGTGATTAGAGATCTTTTGGAGTTCCAATATAAACATTCCACCTGCAAATTTGGATAATGAATAATGATGAGTAAGCACTGGTTTCCACTAATTTATTTGTGGTGGTCTCCACTTGTGTCGAAATATTTTTGGAAAACAACTCTTCTGTAAATTACAATTTAATGTTACACTACCAACATTTCTTATAGTCTAGTATAAATCGTATGAGAGTCCTTCATTTTCACAATAAGTGTGAGTTGGATTTTTATTGTTCCACTTTCCACTTCCCACTTCCTGTCCCCTTCTCTTTTGCCCATAAACAAGAAAAAAGTTAAAGAAAAAAACATAGTGATGTTACAATCTATAATAATTGGATGGTGGAGAACCAAATTATTGTACAACTTTTTTTTATCCTCTTTTGCCATGATATAGATATATTTAGAGACACGTGTAATTCAAGCTTTAGAATGTGTTTCGTATGGAAGGAAATTCTGATCCATATATGCATTGACATGTCCTCTTGGTCTACATAATGGCAATGGAGGGACATTACTAGATCATCCTTTTGTTTTAGGAGTATATATGACAAACTGTTGCTCCAATTAGCTCTGAAACAGCCCATTATATAGAATTAGTTCAAACTGTGGAATGAAGTGCAAGAAAAGTCTCTTACCGAAAGGGAAAAAACTGCTGTTTTTCTTGGAGCCTATCAATTCGTGCTAACGAACATGAAAAATAAACGAAAGAGTAAGTTGAAACTGATCAGTACTGTCTACTATTTATGTTGAAAAATCTCCAAACATTTAGACATGTTTCAACTAAAATATTATAATTACTGCTAGTCTGCTACTATGTGTCTCTTATTTTTACCATAAAATCATGGATATCAACAATTTGTTACAGAAAATAAATTGCAGTCATGTGGTGGTTGTTTTAACCTTGTAGAATTTAAGTTTGGACTCCAATCTCATGAACAATGTGCAATAGTATGTTTCTGTATCCTCTTGTATTGTATACGTTCACCTAAATAATTAATACTGATAGAAACTTATTCTGATGAGGCCTGTTTTTGGATTATAGTGGGTAAACATTTGTAACTTTACGATCATAGCAAATAAAATTTACTTAATGTTGACAAAAATAATTTTACGACTTTATTATTACAATAAGAAAAATCAATGAACAATATTACATGAAATTAATCTTCAATATGGTGAAGCCAAAAATACTGCTCTAATTAATTAGTCTAACATAGTAGAAATCTAGATCTGTGTCAAAGCTTATATGACCAAGAAGATTATTGATGAATTCTGACTTTGACAGGACTGAATATATGCACATTTTATCAGATCATGAGGAGCCTAATGAGAAGAACGTTATTCCTGAAATGCTCTTGGATCTTACTATCTTTCTCACCAATATTCTCCATTTTATTTCATCCTTCTTCTTCTGTCTCCTCCTCCTCTGCTTGAAATTCCTGTTCAAACGTCAATCTTTATGGAATTTATTTTCCAAAAAAAAAAAAGAATTATTATTTTTATAAGTTATTTTCTGGTGTTTCATTATCAAAAGATATGTTACGAAAGAAAAAATGACTTCCCTCACTTATGAACTCAACTTATTTTCCTTACAATATCTTAACTTTTAGTTTCATATTATCTACTTCATCCAACACTTATACATAAATATATTATTACTCTTTATCTCTAATACATATATTTTCTTAAAGTATTTTTCGCTTATCAGCCAAACACTACACATTTTTTCGAGAAAAATATTCTAGGCAAAAGACAAGTCCAACAAACCTGCATAAAGGAACTCGACAAACATCCGAATCAGAACAAAGGCGAGAATGCAGTTCCAAAACTTGCCACATTCTCTTGCAGTGAATGCAGCCACAGGAAACTCTCATCTTACATCCAGCAAAGTGACGAATGAGCAATTCTAGCCCTTTACATGCTGCATATTTACAAGGTGTTTGATCTTTTTTCAAGACCTTATCGTATGGACCAATAGTTCGACAACCATCTTTGCATATGTGAACCAGAGCTTCCATTGCCTCATATAGTTGCACATACACTTTTCTCTCATTCATTTTTCTCACTCTTTCCTTCTTCCTCTGCAACCAAATTAGAAAAAGAGTTTAACTACAAAACACTGACAGTATAAGGAGATTATGTTATTATCAGGTATACCTACAAAGCTACAATTACTTGTCTATAAAAAGTGGAATTATATAGTAACCTGAAAAATAACACTGATTACCCGCTAAAGGATTTAAGCTATATTCATTTACACTATAATGCAATTTAACAGATTATAGTAGGTAATTACTCCACTTTCTGAGTTACTATATCAGACTAGATATCAGGGGTTGCTCAGATGGTAAGCAACCTCCACTTCCAACCAAGAGGTTGTGAGTTCGAGTCATCCCAAGAGCAAGGTGGGGAGTTCTTGGAGGGAAGGATGCCGAGGGTCTATTGGAAACAGCCTCTCTACCTCATGGTAGGAGTAAGGTCTGCGTACACACTACCCTCCCCAGACCCCACTAGTGGGATTATACTGGGTTGTTGTTGTTGTTTGTTGTTGTATATCATACTAGATATAAAGAATGACATGTTATTATAAGTCAATCTGATGGTGTAAGAAATTGATATACTGCGTGTGCGCAAAACTTAAACTACCTAATAAAACAGGTTAAAAGACACTGTTAGAATGAACAATTTTTTCATGGCCAATGTAAATCCAGTTAGAAAAGAAGAGACCAAAAAAAAAACATAAACAGGATTGACATCATTTAGGATTCAACTTACAATATCCTCATCATTTACAGATTTCAAAATCTGTTTTTCAAGCACAGGGTGGCTTTTTTTCATGGCTTCCCATCCTTGTGTGGAAGATATAGCCTTGAAACGTTTCAACATAAAACGGTGACAAAAGAGGCTAAGGCGCGGGGCATCACATAAAAGTGCAAGCTGAAAGATGTCAACCACATTGTCCGTAGTTATCAATCCTCGCTCCAGCAGCTGCCGCTCACATTCTCGCTTTAGATGAGGCACTACATATGCATGTGAGAGCACCAATAGATTCAGCGCATGTTCCTGCATTTTATCTTCTTCATAGCTGCAAAGTGAACAATTGATAATTTGAGATGATCAAAAGCTAGTTCATTGCAAGTTCAAAGATGGATCCAGAACTTAAATTTGATGAATCAACCGTGTTTACTATTGATTCCATTCTACCTTTAGATTTATTAGTTCGGAACTTAATTAGTAGTATTTGTTTTACTATTTTCCACATATTTTTATGCTCCGGAATTACCGGATTCAGTTGAACTTAGTAAACAAAGGTTGCATCCGCTTCTGATTTGCAGTTCAGGTTGCAAAGGTACTACCTTTAGAATGTATACTAATGTGTTTCAAATTTTCATCTGATTGGTATCTTCATGAGAAAGTGAGATCAACTACATTGGACTTATGTGCCTGGTCAGATTTTCAATCATCAAACAACAAAATTCTGTTAAGGTTAGATACTTATTTTTAGTTAGATTACAAAAATCTAAAACAAAAGAATCTCGTGTGGAGGTCTGCAATTAATTAACACAAGAACCGAATGAAAATCTGGAATCCCCTTGAAAATATTGTTCAAGAATCTGGAAGCTAGAGGAGCAAGTGCTTAGGAAGGAGAATCATTTTACCTGGCAGAATACAAAAACCGAATGAAAATCTGAACAGCTTCAGGTGGAACCCCACGTATAGAGATTGATCGTTGATGACCTCTACAACCGTGAGTTCTTGACTGATTCAGGTTCAACATGCTTTTGAATACTAGAGAAGCCATACCCTGAAATTAAAGCATCAATGTGTAGACTTTCTTGAGTTTAAGTTGCCTACAGAGACGCTATATAATTAAGTAACCGGCTGTTTTGATCCTTTGGAACAACTTGCTGAATTTAGTAGATCGTTTTAGGACGCCCTAATGATTATAGTCGAACCCATCCAATTTTTACAGTATGATGGTTGGTTGTTCACGACACACCCTAAAGATGACTTGGAATTACACTAATGAGTGTAAGATTTAGATTAATTCGAACAACTGGGATTGAATCTCGAATTTACCAGAATACTAGCATGTGCATAGATGGTGCCACCGTTATCTGTATTAATTGAGACATCAGCTCTGTAACCTTCATCAAAGAGGCAATCCCACATATTCTTTGCAGCAGTAAAATTGGAGCAGTTTCTTCGCATTATTGGTGAGTTCCAAGCCACAGGCAATGGAGGCGGATTTGGTAATGTTCTCTCGAGAGGAAATCCATCATTCCTCCTATCCATTTGCTGATTGTTTTCCTTCTGCTACATTAATTATGAGAAGGAACAATTACATAAAGTTGATAGTATACACCACACCATAGGATTTTAGTCCTATTAATTAGTTTAACAGAGTAATGGTTAATAGGTACAGTCGGGTGGTTTCGTATTTCATATTAGAGGTAAAATTCTTCAGTTTATGAAAGATGTTTCAGTTAATCAAGAAAAAATTTGCAGTGGTATTTTATTACCTTGCTGAAGACAACTCAACCAACAAAGATGAAGAAACTGAACTGCTTTCCAGTTACTTGCTTCCCCTCCCCTCTCTAATACACACTTGACCTACGCCAAGATTTTTCTAGTGGTAGAAAATTACTGTACTACACATCAAATATGCATTGCAGCTGTCAAATGACAAATGCCAGCTTCTTCTTGTAACTATTAGAAGCTTGAGCTCAAATGATTGTTGGGTTGATTATTCAAAGGCAAAAGGGACGATTTAATTTGATTTGGGGAACAAGTTGAGACTAAAAGTTAGATGTCAGACTTTAATGAAATGATATCCGTGTCAGATCCAATGCAATGCCAATATTTTGGTTTCTCTCGAGTATGTTAAACGTGCGGTGTTTTAAGCCCTCAGTGGTCAATTTCCTAAGGATTTTGGTTTTTTCATTACAATCCAAATTCAGTTGTTGCACGCGGTTCACGCCTGATTCATTATTACACCACTGTTCTTTCCAAATAAACAAGTATGATTTGATTTGATAACTGCTGGTTAGATCAATAAATACCTCTACTTATCAGTTCGTATCGTTGACAACAATTTTTATGGTTAACTTATTTGAAAATATTAGACATATCATAATTAATCAATTAATTAAACTACTTCGGTCGCTTATATGAATGCGCAGTATCTTCTATTAGAGCATTCAGCATAAGGTGAACTAGCTTTATGTTAACTTATCGCCAACATCCCCTGTTTTTCGGCTTGGAGTTAGCTATACTTTGCAAATATTTTAAGAATTCGTAACTATAGAAATTGTTGTTGTTTTCCTTTTAAAAATATTTGTGTCATTCCATTTTAGTAGAGGTACAAAATCTGCGTTTGGAATGTACATATTCTTCTAGTATATAGTATGCCTACATCTAAATTCTTTATGTTTGGTGTATTGTAATTTCAAGGAAGTTAGTTAATTTAAAGAGGAATAATATTCCAAAAGATTATAGGAAAGCTTTTGTGAAATAGATCATCAAAAAGGAAAGACAACATAACTACTAAATTTTATAGATAGATTAGTTTAACATTGTCTTAGAATCAATCTGTGGGCGGAGAAATAACCCACCCAATGTGCTTATGAGCTAAACCAAGCAAAATAAAGGACTACAGTATGATAGCATGTGCAAATATATGCGAAAGCAACTCCTGCTTAGAAATAGATTAAACAGTGAATAATCAATGCTTAGATTTACAAAAGCAAACAAGAAAAGAAAATAAGATATTGGATCAAGGCTTAGCAAAAACATTCCTCATGATCAGCAGTTAAAATGAGCAGCATTGTTTCTGTGCACTGAAATTGATGTAAACTACAAGAAGTTGCTTTACAAGCTTGAGCAGGATATCCTAAGCCCCAGATTTACCTCCTTTTGTTTCTTCAATACAAAGAAAAACCAGGGAAATAGAAGAAAAGTTGGTATCTTACAACTGTGTTAGTGATGCTACAATGCACCAAGAATTCTCACTTCTTTTCCTCCTAGTTGAGGCAAGAGGTTTTTGTGCTACCACTTAGAGTGAGTTACTATGAACAGCTCCTCCTTCAAGTGATTGTACAAAAGATCTGGCACCACTACTTCATGAACTTCATAGCTCTATCTTCTTTAAGCCTACAGCAATTGGCATGCCCAAGAACCCGAAAAATACGCTTAGGAACCATTGGCAAAATGAGAGGGGAGTGGTGTTGGCAAATGTCCCCAGATATTCAATGATTATGATTTGGAAGAAAAGAGTTACACCAATAACTGTCACAAATACGTAGTTATCCAGTATGCCTTCCCAAACCTCAACTTTTTCCATCTCTCGCGAGTTTACTTCGTTGAAAAGCTGCATTTAGAATCAAACAGGTGTAATGTAAACCACTGAAGCTTGTCCTCGAACCGTATTTGATACTACAAACCAAACAATTTCACACAAATTATAGAAATGTTCTTTATAATTTACCTGGCAGAAGACAAATGAGTTGAAAATAACTGTGTTGAGGGTAAGGTTAGCATCCGGGCCATCAAGACGGAAAATTGTTTTCCCATATACCTGAAGGAACCATATAATTAAGAACTGATATAAGGATTGTCCCAAGATATTCCTCCACATGACGTTGCTGATAAAATTTCCTTTCCTCCCTACTGGGGCTCTTTTCATTAGTTCATCATTAGGGGGCTCTGTAGCTAGAGCAAGTGCTCCTAAGGTATCCATAATCATGTTGACCCACAGAAGTTGAACAGCAGTAAGGGGAGCGCTTCCTGAGGCATAGTTAAAGAAAAAGCATAGGAATGAGTGAAACGTACTAGCATTTTCTTTGGCTATTCAGCAAATATAACTAAACTCAAGAATGGTACAGCAGAGGGAAAGGCTCCTGACCTGTCACACAAGCTGAAGCGAAATTAACTACCAATGCAACAATATTAACCGTTAGCTGAAACTGAACAAATTTCTGAATGTTTATGTAGACTGAGCGTCCCCATTTGGCCACTGTAACAATTGTTGAGAAATTGTCATCCAGTATGATAACATCAGCACTCTCTTTGGCAACCTGAAACCAGAAATCAATAATGTTACATCTCAATTTAACCGTTTGATCTGGCAAATTTTGCAAACAGAGTCAGTGGTCTTAGAAGCTCAACAGCCAAGTGGGACATAATACTATTCCTTTTTGTTTTTCTCCCAAGTCAGAGACAGATATTCCCGTCTTATTTTTCATGAAGCTCTTTTGATCAGGTAATAGTCCTTTTATTCCCTCACTAGCAAACAAAATTTTTCGGGGCAGTTGTTGCAAGCATTAGAATTGCTCCCTATCTTACGAAGCATGATCCAAACAGAAAAATGCAAAAGCATATAGTGGCTCAATTCTCCTGTTTTCTATTTACAGTCCTATGGTACTTATAATCCACAAATTGATTGTACCTTTAACCACACCACCCCATGAGAATTTGGCCTTCATTAAGAATACAGACAAGTAAAGGATTGTGGTGGGAATGGGAATGAACTAAAAAGAATGAAATAATTGTATTCACCTCGGTTCCAGCGATGCCCATTGCCAGTCCAATATCTGCTTCATGAAGTGCAGGAGCATCATTGGTTCCATCACCAGTGACTGCAACAACTTCATTGAATGTTGTCCGCAATTGCTTTACCAATGTGTGCTTGTCCAGCGGTGAAGATCTAGCCATCACCTGAAGAAGTAAAAAAGAATGTAGTCTTAAACTAAAAATCATACCAAGGATAGAACTTTTCCAGAAGACTTCTCTGCTACAAATGACTTCATTCTCTAGTAAACCAAACTGAGTACAGTACCTGAATTTTGGGAATCACTTTTAGCATTTCCTCTTGACTCATTTCTCGGAAAACTGGTCCTTCAATGGCTATACCATCCTCTGTCAGTATACCACATTCCCTGGCTATGGCTTTTGCAGTATTAATGTTATCTCCAGTGACCATCCGAACAGTCACGCCTGCCGAACGGCAAAGTGCAACAGACTCCTTAACTCCAGGACGAACGGGATCCTTTATACCTACAATTCCTATACAAGTGTACCCAGAGATTGGAATATCGTCATCAGGAGAGAATCCATTTTCCAAATCCATATAGGCAAGACACAAGGTACGAAGAGCTTCAGTGGCAAACTGTTCAATGGTGGCGTTAAGATTATTTCTTATTGTTTCGTCCAAGGAAACAACGTCACCATTTGAGTTGATTACTTTGTCACAGGCAGCCAAAACTATTTCTGAAGCCCCTTTGGTATGAGCCCTTAAACCTCCTTCAGGAAGCTCAAGCACCACACCCATCCGCTTCTTAGTAGAGTTGAATGGCTCAGCTTTCACAAGTTTTCCTGCTTGTCGTTCTGCTTGAAAATCTCCACCAAGTGCTAAACCAAACTCCAATATAGCAGTCTCAGTCGGGGTTCCCAATATCTCATTCTTCTTGCCCTTAGTAGCTACAACTTCTCCACCAGTGTTGTTAAAAATCGACTGCAGCAAAGTTTTGAGCGCAGAATTTGGCATTTCTGAACAAAGTGCAGATGCATCACCTGGTTTGCTCACATCTTTGGCATCCATACAGAAGCATGTTTTCACTACCGTCATGCGGTTGGTTGTTAGTGTTCCAGTTTTGTCACTACAGATGGTTGTAGCTGATCCCATTGTCTCACAAGCCGCTAGATTGCGGACAAGTGCCTTATCATTCATCATCTTTTTCATGGCAAAGGCAAGGCTTAATGTCACAGCCAGGGGAAGTCCCTCGGGAACTGCAACCACCACTATAGTAACTGCAATGGCAAAGTATTCCAAGACTTCCAGCGCTTCTTCCCCGGACCAGCTCCAGTGGGATCCCTCTTGCAGTTTTCGGCCAAACATCTTCTGCAAGAGTACTGCAAAAGTGACAACAGCAAAGAAAAGGCCTATTTTTCCAATGATTGTTGCCACTCCATTCAGTTTAACCTGTAATGGAGTTTCATCATCTCCGCCTTCACTGAGAGTTGCTATCAGTTTTCCCCACTGAGTCCTCATCCCAACTGTTGTAATCAACATCTTGCAAGATCCGTCTTGGACCTTGGTTCCAGAAAGAAGAAAAGGATTTTGAGCATTGACCATTACTGGCTCACTTTCTCCAGTCAAACTGGATTCATCAATTAAAACAGAAAATCCTGAAAGAAAGAGTCCATCAGCAGGGACTTGATCTCCTATCGCAAGATGAACTATATCACCAGGAACTAGATCATATATGGACAACTTTTGTCTGTATCCATTCCTAGTAACCTGGATACATATTTTCTTCTTCTCTTTGTCAAGGTCTCTGAACTGCAAGGATTGACGATAATCACTTGTTGCTGTAACAAACACCACCAACAAAATACTAGCAACAATACCAAGACCATCATGAGCCCCTATAGGCCATCCCTCCATTGCAATGCCAACAATTAGAGAAACAAAAGCGCACGCACCGAGGATCATGAGAGTCATGTCTTGAAGGGCTTCCCAGACAAACAACCAATAGCTCCGAGCTTCACTTTCTTGGAATTTGTTAACTCCAAAAATGCCCTGTCTGCGGGTTAGAGCAGTTTCATTATCAGTAGATAGTCCATCAGTACTTGACGTGGCCAGCTTATCTGCAATCCCATTTGCTCCTCCATGAAATTTCAGTTTTTTCAGATCATGACTTTCAACTATGGATCCTAGCTCATCAGGGTCGATGTGAAAACCAGCATCTTCAACTTCCTTAGGGATAGTGTAATCACTTGCTTGCATGCCTGCAATTTCAGAG